ATCAACTCAATTCACCTTTTTTACTGATAAATCACTTAGACTAGAAAATACCATCATAATAAGAAATCAAAGTATTAAATCATATTTAATTCAAAATAAGTGCAATTCGTCATAATACACAAATAAATAAATAATAAATTACATAACAAATCATGACACATATACATTTTTTATTAAATGCTACTGACAATAAGATTGTTTTCTCTTGGAATAAAGAACCCATTAGCGTTATCTAAAATATTTCACTCTATTTCAAATTTTATCAAAAATGCTCTCTATTTCAAAAAAAAAAAAAAACAATCTCTCTAAAACAGAGAATATTATTAGAGATGCTCTTAAATGGTATAAGACTATATTTTTTACTCAGGATTGGTAAGCCACTTAAACTTCTGCCTAGGGTCCCCAAAAAAAAAGGCCCCCACTTTTATTTGTAGTCTTTATCAAATAATTTTATTTGACCCAATAAAATTCAAGATTAATAAGGTCCATACATAACAAAGTTCATATTAGAAAGAAGATGGTCCAACTTCCCTCTCTTCATTAATGACAACACTTGTCTCTTTTTATTAATGACAAGAAATATAATAAAAACACTAATGCTATTGAGACATAATTTGGGGATATAATGAGTTGTCCCTAATAAAATGATAGTAAAATATATTTAATGAAAGGTCCCATTGTAGTATTAAAGAATTCATTATCATATCATTGGTGACACCTCATTATATCCTCAAATTATGTCCATAAATTATATCCCAATAGCATTGCTCTAATAAAAAATAGCACACACCTACACCACCAAAAACACCCTAATTCTCTCTGGCTCTTTCTCTCATTACCTACTTTTAGTAAAGAAAAACTCTAGGGCTAGTTTGCCACCTCTCTATCCTTCCATAAACAAATATATACATATAGATCATCTTACTCCTACGTTGGATTGTAATGACATTAAACTTCTTTTATTTAATAATTTTATATTTTTAATAAATATAAATTAATCCAATTGCATTGTTCTTTTTATTGGAGAATGTTAGACTAAATAGACGATTGGAAATACAAACAAAGATTCAAAATTTATATACAATCTTTATTTATTAGTGACTATTATTTTATTTCATTTTTAACAATTTTTTATAAAAATTGCAATGGGTTAGTCATATTATCAACTAAAAAATATATATTAACAAAATTTGAATATAGAAACTTAATTATTAATTTTGCATCACAAAAAAGTTAGAACAATAATTTTTAATAAAATTTTAATCATATAACTTAAATATTTATTATTAATTTTAAAAGGGTTCATTTATAATTTTCCCTTAATGCCTCAATTTCATTGGCAGTCGTGTTTCTACTAAAATATAGAATCCATTGAACTTCTCTAAAATATTTCACTCTCTATGTTAAAATTTTATCAAAAATACTTTTTTTTTTAAAAAAAAATCTCTCTAAAATAGAGAATAAAAGGATGCCTTGACTTTGGTTTTTGAGGCCACCTGATTTATGGTGTTATATGTAGAGGACCAGATTTCGTTTAATATTGACCATCACCCTTTGCACTCAAAACGGATCAACTCAAACATGTTCCCCAAATCTATTCAATTAATGAAAGAAAAATAAACATGGATCAAACGTGACAAAATTCAAATGATTAAGACCTGAAGCTAGGAACACGGACAGGTTTTCAGCTTCCCTTAGAAGACCCAACGGCTTACGGAAACCAAACTTTTTTCCTTGACTAGTAGTGTTTTCAAGGGCAGCATCAACGTGCATACATACGTTTTATCCATCTCTGTTGCCTCAGGTTGGTCTCTAGTACCTTAAAGAACATTTCAATATATTGGTTCTTGTGCATGACATGGCATGTACATGTGTATATGTGTGTGTAATCTTATGATCATGTTCAATTTTCAGGTTTTGCAGGTAACCTCATATGGGTTTTGTGACCCTTCTCATACTGTTTTGTAGATTGAGTTGATGGAGTATACAGTAAGCTATCTGGATATGGGTTTCAATATAAAAATTTGTGGCCTCTAATTTGGCCAGTTTGTCGATAAAATTGTTTTTCAATTGGCATCATGAATACCCTTTCTTCAATTTGGTTTTACAATTTCTGTCTGACTCTCATTTTCCATTCCACATTTTGAAATCAACTCAGAAGCTTTTGTGATTTATCCATCTGGCTTGGAAATGAAATCTTCACCATTTGGGTGGTCTTCTAATTTATCTCCTTATTTGTTTTCATCTAGAAAACATGGATACAAATACAGGATATTGGACAAATCTAAAAAACTAGGATATTGATAGGGCTATAAGAAAATATATTGTACCGACTTAATAATTGTATATTTTTTTAATTCTTTAAAATGATCAGGAAAATTAATATTTTTTTTAGTTTTAAAAAAGTATATATAGTACATTATATATATTCACAAAATAAGTGACTAATTAAAAAAAATCAAAAAGGAATATTTTCTTTGTTGGTTTGTTTAGAAATATTTGTAGCTAAGATTATAACGTAATAGATTCATTTTATACTCTTTGGACACTCATATATCTTCAAAGTAGTTTAAATTTTTGATGATGTATTATATGGTATGTGAATTCAAAAGGAGATATTGCTCTGATACAAAAGTATCCGTTAAGCATCCAAATATTTTATTATTGTTGGATACGTAGGAGGAATATTTTATTCGTATCTTCAAGTATCCAACGACTATCATATCCAAAACAGTATTCGATAATGGTACACCAACCTCAAGGCAATATCCGTGTTTTATAGGTTTTCATGCTAGTGCCGATACTCGTGCACATTTATTATTGCTCCAAATTTCTCAATGGGTTTTCAGCTATCATGCAGGATTTGATTTATTAAATTATTTTTGTGCTTTGCTGTCTCTTGTGGTCATTGTCAAGTCAATAAAAAGATAATTCATTTGTTCGTTAAAATTTCGTGAATCTCTTGAAGCCCAGGTGTGGTGATTTGCATATTGTAATTATGTATAAAAGTTCTGCACGTGTATATATCAATTCATTGATGCAGTTAGAAGAATTTTTCTTTAAACTGAATTTGTTAGAAGATGACAATTAGCATAAAATAGGAGATAGTGTACTTGACGATAATGGAATATCTGTAGCAAGAATAAACAAATTATCCAATTTAATGAGAGCATTAGCTAAAGCCATTTTGGTTGTCATACATGTTCCTAAAATACTGTTCTGTGATACTTTCTTGTTGCCAGGAAACAGAATTACAAATTTATGATATGATAGTCCTCTGTTCTCTCTTCAGACATTGAATATGTAGGTTAAGTATGAAATTCTGAGTCAGTCGTGATCTAATGATTTTCAAAGCTGTTCGTGTAAAACAATTCAACTCTGCTCATTTGCACATAAAGGATATCCTTTATGGAGTTGAGTGCAAGGAAACTAATACCTGCAAGTGTTTTAATATATAACGGTAAGGTAAGTAAAATTATTGCGAGAAAAGATTAGGGGTTAACACACAATTGAAGGATTTTCGAGCAACTTCCTCTATGTTTCTAACTCTGTGAGCCATGTGCACATGAAGTTGGTACAATAGAGAATCTACTTTGGCAATGTAAACTATAAAGATATCTTTACAGTTTGTATTCCACATAGAAAGATTAGGGCTACCCAAATTTGGTTTGTATGGATTTGAGGCCTCTCTTACCATTACCAATTACTAATTGGTTTTGGGCCGGATGCTCTTACAATTGGTTATAGTATACCATGATGAGAAGAGATCATAATGGGGTGCCATCGTCACTGTTGGATGATCTTGCGAACGAGTTATGTTTAAATCCCATTATGTTCTATTCAAGGCATTGGAAAATATGGGCATATTACATTTGTAGAGCCATTGTCAGGGATACTGGGTTCCCAAAATAAGGTTTTTCCTACCTCATACCAGTTCAATTTTTCATTCTACCACACCTCGCTAGAAGACTCCTTTTATTGGTTTTTTAGGGCCCCTACATAGGAACTGCTTTATAAAATTTTATCATGGCTGTCCTCCCTCTCCCTTGAATGAATGAATTATGCCCTTGTTCACGTAAACTCTTAAGCTTCCAAGAAAGATGTTTGGTTAGAAATTACCCATCCTTTTGCAGTAACCACATGCCTCTTAGCATGCCCTGTAAATTTTCAGGAATTATATCACAGATTATGTGTGAGGAATGAACTTTTAGAAAGAGATGCCATACAATGCAGCAAAACTTCCAAGTCATACCTACCATTTTTTTGGAGTTTTTTTCCCAGTGGGTTGAACAGAATTTTACAGCAATTCCATGCAGAATGATGGGTTCATCGGGCTCCAACCACTTCAGGATAACAGTATATCTATGCTTATTGTACTTTTAATGTTCTTCCCATCATTGTGCGCAACATTTTGGATTTTGAAAATGGAACCCTGTATTCCCCTTTTTTTTTCTGTCAATTTTTAACATATTCTCTCCCTCAATTTTGGCATCAGTATTCCAGAATCAGAAGGTGTTAACATGAGTATAATGTTGAGAAGCCTATTCATCAGATGAAACATTAAAATCTAATTCTTATTTTTTACTATCTCGAAGTCTCATATGAATGGCAAGTTAATAGTCACAGAATAACAGGCCTCAATTGATCATTGTGGCACATAAAGATTTGATCTTTGTATCTATATCTGGACTTGTGTTGATTGTCTACTCAAAGCCTCGAAACATCTCCCTTAATGTCTGATAGAAAATTTAGATTTGGTACTTGAGACATTGGTCATTCATGTTCAATTTTAAGCATGAAGCAGCCATGTGACCATTATTTAGTTTGACCTTTCAGGACTGCTGTCAATCTTGAGCTGTCTTTAGCTGTTATTCTTTAAAATATTTCTTCCTAAAGGAGATTGGTGGTCTACTGATTTATGGTCTCTACTTCACTATTTTTACAAAATATGATCCTGAAGCCAGATGGCTCCACCGAAGTAACTCATAATAAGTTCCCTAATGGACCGCCAAGCAAAAGAAGGTGGTAGACTCAACAGGTCGACTGTACCTGGTGGCAGTGATGTTTTAGGTCCTACATCAAATATTAATGGTGAGGATGAATGTTTTGGACATTAATTTTTCTCATCCATTATAACTTTCACCTGTTTATTAGACTGAGATTTTTTTGTTGTTTACTGGATTCACAGCTGAGAAAAGATTGGCTTTAGTAGAGTGGTTAAATAGTATTCTTCCCAACTTAAATTTATCAGTAAATGCTTCAGACGAGGAATTGAGAGCTTCGTTGATTGATGGTACTGTTTTGTGTCAGCTTTTGAATAGGCTGAAACCGGGGATTGTGCCTGAGGTTGTCAATGATTTTGATTGGTATTTGTTAATTTGCATAAAGTGTTGAAGATCAAATGTGGATGTAATGACTATGTTTCTACTTGCATTTTTTGTCCTAGTGTGGTGATTCTGTTCGTACTTCAGTGTCATGCTCAGAAAATGTTAAGAGGTTTCTGGGAGCAATGGCAGAAATGGGGTTGCCCAGATTTCAAATATCAGACCTAGAAAAGGTAACTAGTGTTTTTATTAACCAAGAATTCTCCTCATGAATTAATCACATGCTTATACACCATATTTTAGCTTAGCAGCAAGCAAACACCAGAATTTATGGGTCATCAAGTTGAACAATTTTTGAAAGCATGCTTGAAATAACTTCGGCTCCTTTGTACATGCCTTTTTGTACTAGTATTTCACAAGCAATATCTTATCATTGAGCTTTATATTCTTGCCATCTCATATTTTTCCATTTACATTAGACAGGGATCAATGAAAATTGTTGTGGAGTGCCTTTTAACAACTAGAGCACAATTTATGATAAATGTTGGGGAAAATGGTCTTCCAAACATTAGTTCATCCAATAACTCTGGAGGTGATGCTAGTATGAGATGGAAATGCTTAGTAGATCATACTGGAAGTGGCGATGGTTCTCAATGGGGAGAATCTTCTCGATCACATCTTTCTCCATTATGCGGAGAAGTGAGGCCAAAGGGGGTCTCAGATTCTAAATTTCAACGTGCTTTGCGTAGTCCTGTAATGGCAGGTATGCTCTCTCTCTCTCTAGTATAGGTTATCTCCACAAACAGGGGTTCTACACATAGTTCAGTTTCATTGACTCCTAAAAAGCTAAACTATTGTGGAATGAGCCTTGCATGACTATAACTATACCTTCCAGGCTACCTCACTTTTAAGGAAGATTGCGAACAATTTCTTTCGGTAGTAGTCCTCAGTTGCATTGAAAAATCTGTAACTATTGAACTTGAAAAAAATAATTTTTGAGCTTATTCATTGTTATTTATATTGCCATACAGTTTTCCAATATCAAACAATGTCAAATCAACTTCTTGTTTTGTTTAGTTGCCTGGGTTTTACATACTATTCTGTCATTCAAGTTTTCAATCTGTTGTGTAGAGCCATCTGCTGCATTATTACATCATGTTGGACATAAGTTTCATGAAGTTTTTCAACTGAAACAAGGATTTTATGCGGATCTTCCAGCTGCAAAGATTACAGAAATGATGAAATCGAATAGTTTGGATGTATGTTCCTTAAGTCTGGCTTCTTGTCAATGGTCCTGAGTCTCCTGACCATTTGGCCAGATTTTTGATTCATATAAGCAGTCTATTACTTTGAGCTGATATTTCTATTTTTATTGTGTGCAGAATGCTCCGACTCAGTCACTATTAAGTGTGGTGAATGGAATTATAGATGAAAGCATCGAAAGGAAGATTGGGGAAATACCTCATGTATGACAATAAGAGGACGCACTGTGTTGGATTACAGTATTATATTCGCATACATGCACAAAAACATGCTTTTACGTAATTTAGTTGCTTTCCTTTCTCAGCGTGTGGCATGCCTTCTGAGAAAAGTTGTTCAGGAGATTGAGTGGCGTATATCTACACAAGCGGAACACTTAAGAACTGTAATACACACCACGGGCTTTTGTTTTATATGATCTTTGTTGATTGCTATGCATTCATTTCTTAAATGTTTTTCTACCGGCAGCAAAACAATATTTTCAAGGCTCGTGAAGAGAAATACCAATCAAGAATAAAAGTACTGGAAGCCCTTGCCACTGGGACTAGTGAAGAGACAAAGGTAAAATAAGATTATTCATCCTCTACATATTGATGGATTTCTGTTTATGTGTGATTGGTATATTCCCATTAACCATATGAGATAATTATTATTTTTTTAAATTTGCAGAATGTCATGAACCAGCTTCAGCAGATGAAGGTATAACTTAATGGTTGAATCTCTTTTTCTTTCCCTCTTTCTTTCTTTCGTTCTTTTCTCTTTGTTATTTTGGATTGACAGATGAGAGCTCATTTTTGCTGTTGTTATGTATAAAGTGAAGCTGTTTGATTGTAGCCTTCTCCTAGTTTTCATGCATTGTTTGAGTTGTTTTTTTTTTTTTTGAACTTTTTTTTTTTTATTGGGGAGAAGGAGGGGGAGGGGGAGGGTGGAAGGGGGTTTGAACCCTGACCTCAGGGGATCCCTGCTAGAGGTACTCGCCTAGCTTCATCTTTTTGTGGAATAATAGCACAAGGGGGAATATGGATAGAAAAACCATCATGGATGAGATTATATGGTTGGTTTTAGGAAGAATTAATGACTTTTATGTGTTCTGGTTGTTAATTGGACAGAAGAAATAAGGTGACAAAGCAATAAGGAATGAACCAGTGAGAAATACTGTCAAATAAAGCATTCAGGGTGCTGCTTAAGCAGATCAAAACTGGACTGGTTTAATACGAAATAAAGACATGGGAGTGTATGGTACTAAAATGTAAAATATATTTTATTATAGCATATCTTGGCCATATCCATATCCTTTTTTTTAGGTTTTGTCGTATCATTTTATCCGCATCGTTTCATACTCGTATCTCATATCTGTATCATCTCATACCCTCATTTCCTATCCGTATCGTCTCATACCCGCATCTCGTATCCATATCCGTATATGTGCTTCCTAGGTATGGTTAAACACAATTCTGGCCTATACATATGTTATGTATGCTTTGTATATAGAGTTGTGGGTGTGGCTATTCTAATTTTTTAAGCATGTGTAAATGTGACAACAAACCCCAATCTGGTGTTCACTTGTATCATAATTAATAACCCTAAATTGTTGCCTAGAAAATTACAAATGCTAATCTTTGAAATTTCAAATATTTGCACAAAAATACAGTAAACAACAATAAATATGGTACTCAAACGTATAATACAAGCAAACATACTATTTATCTTGTTAACTTTGATCAATCATAGAAAAGTAAGAGAAAGAAGGAGAGAATATTATTGAGACACAATAAGCCAGAACAACCTTAAAGGAAAAATATATATAAGAAGTCTTTATATAGTAAAACAAATGACTAAGTTAGGGCAACATAAAAGAAAATAAATGACTAAACTACCCCTAAGTCTAAATATGCTAACTACTGTAACACCCTCCCTCAAACTCATGATGTGGTGGAAAGAAAACATCAAGAGTTTGCCAAGAACAAAACGGAAGCGAGTCTAATTGCATAGTAATCAAAGGAAAGGGGAGGGAGATAAATCAACAGTAGAGGAGATAAATCAACAGTAGAGACAACAACTTCTGGAACATGGAGCTCCTACAACACATACAGTCCTCTCTTTCTATGGCCTGTTCCAATCAGCTTGTTGGACTATGGATCCTGAAGAACCTGAGGCAAATGAACCTACCGAAGGAGATACTGTAAGAGCATTAGACTGATGGAGAGAGATTAACTTTTGCAACTGATCAGCAAGCATAGTTAGGCTGGGAGCCAGTGAGAAAGACTTAACCACCGGTGTTGCAACTGCTCCTGAATGACGATCTTGAGGCTGAAATGACTGATGCGCTGTCTCCTTAGCATTTTTGTTCACCAGTTTAGGACATTGAGCCTTCTAGTGACCCTTCTCATGATAGAAACTATACTCATCTGAAGCTACACGACCCTGATAGTTATTTTGTGAATGAGAAGTCACCGTGGGAGGTACAGCCAATACAGTCTGAGTTGACAATGGAATAAGACCTTTCCCAGAAAGAGTATTAAGACAAACTTCTTCAGCTAGAAGCTCATTCACTACTGCATCAACTGAGGAAAGTGGATTACGATGGAGAATAGAACCACGAATTCTCTCGAAGTCATCCCTGAGGGCCATCAAAAATTCTCCTTTCTAAAAGTGCAATATATCATATGAGTACTTAGTTCAGCAGGTTCAGTAAGCGCTAACTGATCCCAATAGCTAGTCATAACTGAGTAGAACTTCTGGATGTTCTTATCATCCTGACGTGCAGCTCGAATTTCATGCTCTAGCTGATACCTCTTTGTAAAATTGGACTGAATAAATAAAGTAGCTAAATAATCCTAAATCTCCTTGGTTGTATTAAACTTAGTCAAATGAACACCAATGGTCTGATCAACTGAATTGTTAATCCAAGTGATGATTTTAGCGCTATTGATTTTCCAAGTATTCTTTAAGTCAACATATTTCTCGACCTTAGGATCAGTTGGAGCTGACGAATCACCACTAACATAACTCCACATTTTCTTACCCAACAAGAAATTTTTCATAACATAAGTCCAATATACATAGTTCTCACCTTTTAATCTAACACTGATAGCCTGAAGAGAATTAGAATTTTCACTGGCCATAATACCCAAATCAAGCAATCCAAAGAAAATATTAAAGTAAACAAACACCCCAACAACAAAACAAAATCTAGCAGCCCAAAACAAAACAGTGACCTACAATAGTGATTTTCAGCAAAATCTAGCAACCCAATAGCCTAACAAGAACCAACTGCCCAACACCCAAATAGCAAATAAGGGCCCAAAAGTCCAAAGGTCAAAATCCAAGCATAGTAGAAGAAAGAATAGTCAAAGCAACAGCAGCCCAAATCAACAAACCCAAAGGATTGGGGTTGCCCAAATCAACAACCCCCAATACCCAACAAAATAAAGCCCACCAAGAAAAGAAGAAAAGACAAACAAACAACCCAACAGAGAAAAGTCCAAATCAACAAAGAGAAGAAGAAAAGCCAAACCAACAGTCCAACAGAAAGAAGCTCAAATTAGACAAAGAGAAGAATGTCCAACAAAACAAAGCCCAACAAAGAGAAGAAGAAAAGCCAGCCCAACACAGAGAAGTCCAAATCAGACAAAGAGAAGAATGCCCAAAGGAATTAGGATTTCTTACCTTGCAACAAGAAGTACCAGCAAAAGAGAAGAAGCAGCAAACCCAACAACCAAAACTTGCAATCTATCCAGCAATTGGTTCACTGAGGAAGACCTAGGAATGAAGGCATAGAAATAGCCAGCCGACACACTGGGGAGCACAAATCCAATCACAAAACAGAAAGGAGAAGGCACCAGCAAAGCCAATAGAGACCTCCCCAAAACAGAAACCAACCAGCAAAAGCCAATAGCAGAAACTAGAACCAAAAGAACCATCCAACGTCAAACAATCCAAAGTTCATCACAAATCAACTCAACAACTTTGCAAATCAAATACCCATAACAAATTGAGGCTTCTTACACAACAATACAGTAAAAAATGGCACTAAACATCGAAATTTGGCACTATTCACACCATGAACAGTAATTTCGGTACTGTTCACAGTGCGTGAGCAGTACTTCAGCATTGTTCACAGCGCGTGAACAATAATTTCGACACTGTATAACGAGTGAATAGTAACTTCGGCACTGTTCATAGCCTTTAGAACCATGTTAACTCTGATACCATGTTCACTTTGATCAATCATAAAAAAGTAAGAGAAAGAATGAGAGAATATTATTAAGGCACAATAAGCCAAAACAACCTTAAAGGAAAAATACATATAAGAAGTTTTTATATAATAAAACAAATGACTAAGTTAGGGCAATATAAAAGAAAATGAATGACTAAACTACCCCTACGTCTAAATATACTAACTACTCCAACATATCTGACATGGAGATATGGTGTCTAACGTGAGAAACTTTCCCTTTTTTAACTTTTAACATGCGGACACCATAATATGTGTTTGTTAAGGCCTTTTATGAATATGAATTTACTTGTATATATATTTGAATTGATATATTACAGCCAAAACCAGCAATGGACACATGTATGATTGGGGTGTTCATTTTCCATGTTTAAATAAGCTAACTATTAGTAGGAAAAAGGGGTTGCAGGCATTATTGATTAGTCGAGCCTGTTATCCGTGAGAAAGGTTATAAGTAGTTTCTTCCAAATTTTAAACTAGTATAAAAGATGGGAAGTAATTCCAAATTTGGAAACTAGTATAAAAGATGTGGAAGATACCCTTGAGTACACACCATCCAGAATTGTGTTGATTTCTGACCATATAAAATGTACCCTGTCCTTCTGAATAGGTGATAATGAGAGGAGGGATGTGTTACTGAAGTTTCTTACTCATGGATCTCCTGCACAGACTCTGCATCAGACAATAATGGCAATTAACCTGCTTGACATAATTTCAAACAGATTGTGAAAATATAACTCAACTTAATTCAAGGAAGCCTTTATCAAATGTTATGCGAGTATATGAACTCAAATCAAAAAAGAAAAAGCTTGTGATGTAGTAGCAAGTGATCCACTATTTGCAGCTGATCTTATCTATCCACTTGAAATGGCCACTTCCTTGGTCGCTTCTTTCACATCTTAAGCTGCTCGAACATAATGTGGAGTAGAAAGAAAACTTGCTGGTTCACAATGGAGTATAAGGTTTTCGCATCTGAAGCTCCTCCTTGCTTCTCTGAGGAAAATGAGATTATCACTGTGTTGGATGTGTGCATGTGTGTGTTGCTTGGCTGAAGTTCGATATCCTTGAAGATAACTCATTGTGTATGAAGGGAAACCATCAAATTTGTACATAAATAACAAAGAATCAGTGAATTTTTCTGCTCGCTAATATATTGATATTCTCCTTTTGTTCAGGACTTTTTTGTAATGGGTAATGCATCCTGGAAATCAATTAATGATTCTTGAGTATTGATTTTATATATATATATTGTGTTAGCATGTCAGAAGTCAATACTAGTTTTCCCGTAGACTGTAGTTGCTCATTTGTCCCTAATGGAAAAGTGGTATGCCAAAAACTTAGCTCACACGCTAATTTTATTTTCCTTTCCTTTGAATTTACTTTTGTTTGTAGACTGAAAATACCAAAATGGAAGAGAAGAAGAAAGTTGAGCAGGATGTGGCTAGATTGATGAAAGAAAAGGATGACAACCATAATCAAATTTTGGTACTGAAGCAAGAGCTGGAAATGGCTAGGAAAACACACGAAGAACGGATGGAAACAGAAGGAAAACTAGCTCAACAAGAACTTCAGCAGAGGTTAGAGGAAGTTATGCAGCTCCTAACAGAATCAAAAAATACGGTTAAAGAACTTGAGGCATATTCCGAGTCCAAATGTCAGCGGTGGAACAAGAAAGAGCACATCTACCAAGTGTTTACAGACTTCCAGCTTGGTGCCCTGCGGGTATGCTTTGACTCTATGTTCGTTAGCTTTCACATTCTGATGCTTGTGGCATACACTTAATTTGAATCTGTGGATTTGTTCAGGAACTGAGGTTCAGTTCTCAGTCAATTAGACAAGAAATTTTGAAAACGCAAACGAGCTACTCAGATGAATTCAATCGCTTAGGTTTGGTTGATTGTTTGCAACACCTTAATTTGAACTAACATGTGATGGCATGTTCTCACGAATTGACTGTTCTGTGTTTAGGGTTAAAGATTGAAGCATTAGAAAATGCAGCAGAAAACTACTACGCAATCCTTGCTGAAAATCAGAAGCTGCATAATGAGCTCCAAGAGCTCAAAGGTTTCCATTTCTTAAAACTACAGTTCTGTTGTGAAAAAGAATACCGTTTATATTTTTGCTCATGGATTCTCTTGAACAGGAAATATTAGGGTTTATTGTCGGATAAGACCATTCCTTCGTGGACAAACTGGAAAACAAACCATTATAGAATATATTGGCGAGAATGGGGAGCTGGTTGTTGTAAATCCCTCCAAACAAGGAAAAGATGGTCATCGCTCCTTCAAGTTTAATAAGGTCTATGGTCCAGCTGCAACTCAAGGTCTTAGTCCTTACATTCGTGACATTTTTATATCCTAATCCAACCATCCTAAAACTTTCCTAAGCATCCTGAAAATGATTTATCGATTTTTTCCCTCAAGTCTTTTCTAAATAAAGTCTCGCAACTTGTATGCTCAAATATTGTGCATGCATACGTAATTTATAGGTTTATGCATGCAACTAACACATATACTAGCCTAGATATTCATAATCCAAATTATATATGTTCAAGTAGATGTGCATATAAGCTTCTATACAAATCACATCTATGTATATGTGCATATATTTGCCTTTTAAGTATGTATGTATGTATGTATTGGCAACATTTTACATGTACTCATTAACATAGTTGCTTGTATATTCTGTCTCTATCTTTGCCTCTACAATGAACCTTTACACACACACACATGCATGCTTAGTTTGGAGTTCATGATTTATTATCATAGGTAAATAATTTTGACAACTTTAGCTAAACACAAAAAAGAGAATAAAAATTGGTTGGTTTTGTTAATTGATTATATTTTTCAGTGTAAGACATTTTATGTCCAAGCAAATGGAGTACTTGCTGTTGTAAAATATGAAGAGAAATCTTAGAGAAAAAAAATATGAAGAGACTTAAATTGTATTTTTCTATTCACTTTGGCTCATTTCTATCTTACCAGAATCAAATAATTACATAGGTATTTATAGGATTCTAGGATACATGCATACCACCAATACATGCATATTACCAATACATGCGCTATCCAAATAAATACATGAATCTAGAATACTCCAAAACATTGAATAAAGTTTAATTCTCAACACTCCCTCTTAAACTTAATTCCTTGTAACTCCTAGCATTACCCGTAATTTGGTAAAAGTGTCATACTTGAGAGGCTTCGTAAAATTATCTGCAACTTGATCATGGGCCTTCACATACTTTACCTCCACCTCATTCTTTGCAACACAATCACGAAGAAATTGATACATCGTAGTTCTTCTCCAAAAGTTGTCCTAAACACAAAATATTGCTCTTCATACTTGGTGCATAATAGACATTACTTGTAAGTTGATGACCACCATTCTTCATACGAATTAAAATCGTACATTTTCCTCTAATTGGAACTTTAGAGTCGTCTCCTAAAGTGACAAACCCAGTCACCGACTCATCAAGATTCACAAACTTGCACTTATCTCCACACATGCTTGCCCCATTGTCAAGATGCCATAAATCATTTTTGCTTTTTACTTCTCCTTTGTAAGCTAGCAACAAAGTGATCTCCTCTTCCTCGTTCTTAGCATAGTTCACCTTCTCCAATATTACTAGGCGCATTCCAACATTCTCGAGCATAGTGCCCATGCTCTTGGCATTTGGAACACCAAACTTTGGATTTATCTTACCTTGAATAGTTTCCTCTTCCACGTCCCCTTGAGAATTGACTTCTTTCTTCATTGTTGGAGTTTTGGTTGCCTTGTCGGCCTCTTCCTCTTCCTTGGACTTGTCCACGTCCGCGTCCGCGTCCCCTTCCTCGTTGACTTTTCTCATGATCATAATCCTTTTCTTTCACCGAAAGCTTGGTGGCTAGAACTTGCTCGATCGGCTCATCCTTCTTCATGTTAATTCTTTCTTCATGGGCTTGTAGAGAACCTATGAGTTGATCAACTGTCATAGTCTCTAAATCTTTAGACTCCTCAATAGCTATAACGACATAATCGAACTTTGGATGCAACAAGCGAAGAATCTTCTCAATGACCTGGACTTCCTCCAATTTCTCTCCATGTTGCTTCATTTGATTGATTATGGCCAACACCCTCGAAAAAAAATCTGAAATAGACTCAGATTCTTGCATTCATAAACCTTCAAATTCTCCTCGTAACAATTGAAGGTGAACTTTTTTAACTTTATCAACCCCTTGATTGGAGTTTTGTAAGATCTCCCATGCTTGCTTGGCAGTGGTTGCATTAGCAACTCTTTCGAACATGACTTCATCCAAACATTGATGGATGAGAGTAAGAGCTTGTTAATCCTTCTTCCACATCTTTCGTAGAGAATCCTTTTGAACAGGAGTCAACGTAGCTTCCTCACTAGGCTCGTCATGGCCTTTATTCACGATCTCCCACACATCTTGGGAACCAAGCAAAGCCTTCATACTAATGCACCAATTCTCATAATTTTCTTTTGTAAGAGGAGGGAATTGAAATGGAAAACTAGAATTGGCCATTTCCAGGATCACAAAACTAGTGCTCTGATACCATTTGTTGTAAAATATGGGGAGAAATCTTAGAGAAGAAAATATGAAGAGACTTTAATTGTGTTTTTCTATTCACTTTGGCTCATTTCTCTTTTGCCAGAATCAAATAATTACATAGGTATTTATAGGATTCTAGGATACATGCATACCACCAATACATGTATATATTACCAATACATGCCCTATCCAAATACATGAATCTAGAGTACTCCAAAACATTGAATAAAGTTTAATTCTCAACACTTGCTGATGGATTAGTAAGTTTTTCTTTGTTCAAGTGTGTTCTTATTAGTAAAACATTGGGACATCTGGTGCTTCACTGAAATTTGAATTTTGACAGTGGAGGTATTCTCAGATACACAGCCCTTGTTACAGTCATTGCTTGATGGGTATAATGTTTGTATCTTTGCGTACGGTCAAACTGGTTCAGGAAAAACCCACACAATGGTATGAGTGCTTTGTTATTTTTGATCGTTACAAAGTATTGTTGTGATGTTAAGCATTCGCTAAATAAAAGCCATTTGCTTCTCCAGACCGGTCCTGAAAGTGCATCTGAAGATGAATGGGGGGTCAACTACCGTGCTCTGAATGATCTTTTCCGGATTTCTCAAACTAGAGAAAGAACGTATAAATATGAAATCAAAGTTCAAATGGTAGAGATATACAATGAACAAGTGCATGATTTACTGTCAAGTGATGGTCCTCAAAAGAGATATCCTTCTCTAGCTATAGTAATCTGTAATTGGGCATAAGATGTGCTCTATCTTTAGTCTCTGTGTGTGTGTGTGTGTGTGTATATGTATGTACGCATATGTATGTATATATATGTGTATGTTTGTATGATATAGACTTTACTATCTGCCTATTTACCAACTTTGTTGAATCTAGATAAACTGCTGTTGTTTCGGTGTGACAAGACTTTGTTTTCCTTGACTTTCACACGCTTGGGATTTTGTCTACCTCCCAAACAAATGGGTTGTCTGTCCCTGATGCTACCATGCATCCTGTCACATCAACTTTTGATGTCATAGAATTAATGGAAACTGGATTAAGGAATAGGGCTCAAGGTGCCACTGCTTTGAATGAGAGAAGCAGTCGATCACACAGGTTCTTTACAGGAGGATCATGATATTATCGCTAAATTATGTATTTGATATGTCTATGTCAAGGCTTTGTTTTATTGCATGCACAGCGTTGTGACTATTCATGTTCATGGGACGGATACAAAGACTGGTGCTTCTTTACGCAGTAGTCTTCATCTAGTAGATCTTGCAGGAAGTGAAAGAGTTGACCGCTCAGAGGTAACTGGAGATAGACTTAAGGAAGCACAACACATAAACAAATCTCTATCTGCTCTTGGAGATGTCATCTTTGCTTTGGCACAAAAAAGTCCTCATGTTCCATACAGAAACAGCAAGCTTACTCAAATCCTTCAAAGCTCTCTAGGTACATCATTATTCCTTTTTCCCTATTAGCGCCACAGTTCCTTTGTTTTGTGTCATGTACAGATATATATGTTGGAGAAATTCTCTTTCTGAAGATATTTTCACTCCTCCTTTGAAGGCATGAAAAAATTAGGAGTAATATTTGAATATTTAACCATTTTGTGTGTGAGTCGCCTGGTTTGGTTTATGTAACACTTTAGTTTTCTAGTGATTGCAGTCTCGTATTTTTTACGTAATTATCTCCAGATACCTGGGACCAAATTTTAATCCAAGATAGGTCCGTACATAACGTGCATTCCCCATACTTCATACCACTGGTTCCTTATTTCATATCAGAATTTATCCTGAACCGCTTTGGTGGGAATGGGTTTTGTGATTGATGATGTGGAGAAAGGATGAATTATTTGAAAATTATTTTATCCATTACATGGAAGAGAATGGGCCTGAATTATGTGTAACACATGCACATGTTGAAACAAACCCAGGGACCAAAATGGTGTTCCCTTTGTAAAGAATATAGAATCTTAATTTTGCTTTTATATAACGTGTCATATTGATGCATTTTATAATACAGGTGGCCAAGCAAAGACCCTTATGTTTGTGCAGCTCAATCCTGATATTGGTTCGTTTTCTGAATCTGTAAATACCTTGAAGTTTGCAGAGAGGGTCTCTGGAGTTGAACTGGGTGCTGCGCGGAACAGCAAAGATGGCAGGGATGTAAGGGAACTCATGGAACAGGTGCTCTCATAAAACACAAAAGCTCTCGTAGTTTTCTGCAATTATTTCCCATTTCTACCTTTCAACAAGTATCAAGCACGTCCATGACCAAAGTTAATAAAACCCATACTAATCTGCATGGGATAATTGGTACCAATTCCTTTTTGGCCTCTCTGTCTTTTTAGGTTACATACTCTATAAATTCATAGACTATCCTTTGTTTGCCTCCAATTTAGGCATGACTTTCGATCGTCTTTTCCACCTGTCCATGTAGCCGTTCAACTTAATTTGGATGTGCAAAATTCCCATAGATAGACTTGTTCAGATCTTGATATGTATTACTTAGACCATTCTCTAACAGATAAAGCATTTAGAGGAACTGATTGTCTAACATGATATCAAAACTTTGGTTCTTCTGTAAGTTGTGATGGAGGTGTTGAGAGCTGATATATTACTTGACCCACACCCCAACAGCTTAAGCTTTTAGAGAATGTTGATGTCTAAGAAGACCAAAAATGAGTATCAGTTATAGTTTCATGAAGTCATTTTGAATATCTTAATACAAAGACAGGTTTCAACCGCTTCTCCTTAATACTAAACTGGTTAGTGCAAACCTTTAGTGAACACTTTAAGCATTTGGTCTTAGTCATGGGATATTAGTTTGCTGCAATGTGATACATATGAACAGCGACAGAATCATGCTTTTATTATGAGGGGGCAAGACAAAAATAGTCGCAAAGTTAAATATTTTATTCTATAGGATTATTGAACTAGTTATCTTTAATAACAATTTTTTACTTTTATAGAACTTATAAAATCAATGTGATAGGAATTGCAAAAATTGGTTTGGGTCATAAAATCTAAAAATTGATTCTTACTCGGCATTATAAAATTAATTATGACAATGTCATGACCCACTTATTCGCACGTTCATTATACGATACAATGACTAGAAGAAAATTGTCATAAATATTGCTTTCACGGGATACTATCATAAATATTAGTTATGACGATGTATTATTGTGATATATGTCACATTGTAACCAAAGCAACTTTCCTCCTTTTTTTTTCCCTCAAGTCGTAAGACTCATTCAAATATGTGTCTTAGACTATAAGAGAAACACTAATTCATGTAATTAATATCCCCATTTTGTTATTAAGTACTAAGCCATTAAGATTTTTGAATACACTAATTCTGTTACCCTACATATATAAATTTTTTTGAAAACTTAAGGTATAGGATTTTGGAAAAACTAAGGGGAATATAGGATATTTTTGAAAAGTTGAGGGGGCCATGGCCAGCCTTGGTCCCAATGTAGTTCCGTCCATGCGTATGAAGCATATGACTCTGTATCAGCCATTTAGCTAAGATAGACAAGATATCAACACTTAAAAAGTTCTAGAATGATTCAGAATTAAAAGGTCAAATATGCTAGTTTTATACTAGAAGTGAATTAATTACAATGGGACACTGCATACGATTTAGATGACATGTCATTTAGATACTTGAGCTCAAAAGCTTCTGGCATGTACTGCTGTGTCAGTCATTCATCCTGCAGATAACGTAGACACCAAACGTATTAGCTTTCCTTCTCTTTCACTAACTGAGTTGAAGGCAGCATAAATTAAAATGGAAAATAAAATCACATTTGAATCAAGAAAATTTTAGGTTGAATGCAAATAAAAGTCAGCTCCACTGAATTTAGAAGTGTCAGCTCAAACAAAAACTCCCAAAATTAGGTTATGATAGAAATTAGAATTATGATTACGTGGTTCATATTGCATGCCACTGAAGGCCGGAAAGTCAGGTTTCTGGCAGGATAAGTTATATGAATTACAGGTCCTGTTGCTGTTGACTTCAAATTTTTTTAGTTTATTTGTTGGAACATTAGAGAGAGTCATTATCTTTGCCAGCAAACCATTTGTAGCTCTAGAGGGGCATCAGACCTAGGTGTTATAAGATCTCTTCCTCCTTTATTAGGAAATAGAAAAATACAACTAAAGTTCTTCCTTTGCAACAGTTTTTGATAAGACCGTACCTTATAGTGACAGGTTACTTTTTTTTTCCTTTTAAGAAAATTATGAAAAACTAAACATGGAGAAACCACTAGCTGACTACAACCTGTCAAGAAAGCTAAGATAGGAAGAGCTAGGGGTTATTACCTTCACGCCCTATGTTAGAATCTAGCAAGAGAGTCCTAGTTTACATGATGCTTGTGATTTGCTGATGATTGCGTGCATCTAGAGTTTGCTTTGTAGCCACAAGTACAACAGAGGCATGATTGGTATCTATTTTCATTCAAAAGGATTGAATGTTAAAATAGAGAAAGAGACTCTAAATTCATAACTTCTGAAAGAAGCTGTTACAAGGATCAATATATCATTTTGAAATAGTCAAAACTTCCGAAACGTTTTCGTTTCCAAGGAGATCAAAATAAATCAATGATAAAATCAAAATTTTAATATTTCGAGATGTTCCATAATGTTTTGAAATGTTGTTATATTTCAATGCATGTGCACATTTATTTCATAATGTTTTAAGGTATTTCAAGATATTTTGGTATATTTCGACCACTGTTTTGAAAAAATAATTCTTAATTTTTTAATTTTTTTGCATTCTATTTTTGAATTGGCATTTCTGAAATATGTCGAAATGTTTCCGTTTCCTAGGTGACTGAAACAATACACCGAAATAAAATTTTAATCCTTGAGCTGTCATTAGTTTAAAAAAAGAAAAAAAGAAAGAAGTTGTCATTAGGAAACAACAAAATTGTTGGAATTTGGGTTGGGGCATAAAAATTCTGAAATACTTTCTTGTTGACTTTCGTTTATTTATGTTGATAATGAATGATCAAACAACTTTTCTTTTCATTATAATAAGTTAGAGAATTGAAATTATGGATATCTGAAAACTCTGTTTGTAATCAAGGTTATGTCACAAATAGAGTTAATTGATAGTTATGCATTATAGTTAATTGATAAATGCGAAAAATCATATTCTTGACTGAGATGTGGATCATTAAGGTATGTGTGAATATATATATCCATATATGATTATTGAAAAACCTGCTTGAACTTTGAGCTTTTTTTCTGTGTAGAATGTTATTGTTTGCAAGACTTTGGGTCTTTTTTCGAGCATGCTAGTAGTTCCTAGAATGCTCTTGAAAGCCTTTGAACCTAGTTGTACTCTCACATCAAACACTATTTTGTTGTTTGGTGATGCATGCACCATCCATCTTTTTTGATTATTGTCCATCTCTGGATTTGTGCACACTTCCATTGTATTCTCTCTTGTGCCTATTTATGTTTACCTACATATGCAACCAAGAAGAGGTGGTTACACAAGTTTTTTTTCCCAAACATTTTCAAGGAGAATTCATTCTACATGCTTGCTCATTTAGTCATTCAGAATCTAAGTTACATATCATGTGCATGTGAATTGTGAAAATATTGTAGTTGTTTTGCTTCAAAAAAAGAGTATATTGCCTTCTAATTATTGTTAGTCTTGCAGGTGGCCTCTCTGAAAGACACAATTGCAAAGAAAGATGAGGAGATTGAGAGGTTGCAACTCCTTAAAGATCTCAAAAATGTGTATCACAATGTCAATGGTGACAAGCCTGGATCAAACTCATTGAGGTATGGGTCTTCCTCTCCAACCAAAAATCCCATAAGTGGAACTCCTCAAGGAAGACAACATGTCTAGATACAAACTATCATAACAACGATAACCTTTTTGTCCCGCACCATTATTAAGAAAAACACACAGTAGAACGAGCATATAACTTATTTTGTTCAGATTTAGAAAGAAGAACAAAACAAGGACAACTAAACACACAATGAGAAGTAGTCAGGAGGTTTACCATATAAACTTTTAAAAGGGGAAATAGTCGAAGTAATAATAGAAAGAATTCGGTTAATTAGATGAACACATGTGAGAATTGCCTCTCTCCAAAAAGAGCTAGGAACAAATGCAGAGAAAAGTAATGAACAAACTGTCTCCGTAATGTGCGGTGCTTTATCACTCAGTCACACCATTTTGTTCAGGAGTGTCTGCACAAGAGAACTGTTGAATAGTTCCTTCAGATTTCAATAAATTAAGAAAATCAGTATATTTGTATTCCCCACTCAAATCACATGGAAAACATTTAATTATTATAGAATATTGTGTGTGAACCATGACACGAAAAGCAGCAAAGGTAGAGAAAAATTCAGATCGCTGCTTCATGAGATAAATCCAACAATATTGAGTATAATTATCAATACAAGAAACATAGTAACAAGAACCCCCTTTGGTTGCAATGGGGGCAGGACCCCACACATCGGAATGCACAAGGTCGAAAGAAGTAGAAGAAGTGGAATTGTTCTTAAAAGATAAATTTGTGAATTTGGCAAGTTTACATCCACTACAATTAGAAATATCATGGCTAATTAAATTTTCTAAAGCATTAGTAGAAACTATAAACCTCAAACGAGAACTAGGAATATGTTCAAGACAAGAATGCCATAAATAAAATACAGAAGACTTGGGGTTCAAATGAAAGGAAGACATATCAATCGAAGAAGTAGTCACAGCTGGGACATGTAATTTTTTCAGCACATATAATCCTCCAACCCTACGGCTTGTCACAATCAAAATAATTGTAGGATACAGTAAACATCAAATGAGAGAGAAGAGAAGTGATAATAGATCCAACCCCTACCACCAACATGGAAGTCCCGTTGACCATTAGAACAGTATTAGGGGAGAAGGAGATGAGTTAGAAGGAAACAAAGATGGATCATTGGTCATATGATTTGAATCATCTGAATCAAAGACCCAAGTAGAGTGAGATATACCTAAAGGTGTTGATAAAGATAAACCAATAGGAGACAAAGCAGATACAACATTACTTCTATTTTTCATAGTGCAAGTTCTAAAAACTCTTCTTTCCTTCCTTCCAAAACTCTTGCTTCAACTCCAAACCTTAATTTTTCAAAACCTTAAACAAGGATAGAAGTAGCTGAATTTGTAATTTATGCAATGTTTTGGGGTAAAATTTGTAATTTTTTTGCACTTTTCTAAGCAGAATCTACAATTTCCGCATTTTGCTTGGGCAGAATCTACAACTTCTGCATTTTCCTCGGGTAGAATATGCAATTTGTGCAATTTGCTGGACTGATTCTAAAATTTCTATAGTTTCTGAAAATTTAGGGTCTTCTCTGTAATTTTAAAAACTTTAAAGAAAGTAAAACAATAGCAGACACTAGTCTTCTTCAACCAACAAATGAAACCCTAACATCAAAATAATAGTCAAAACCACATAAAGACGAGAGATGTGTATAGGAGAGAACTGTTCATGCACTGTTATTGTTCACGACCCTGTTCAGGCTAAATGATTGCAAATCCAAAGAATAATGACTAATGAGAACCTTGCTTTGATACCATGTAAACTTGCAAAGAAGAAAATACATACGAAAAAGAGTAAGAGAGAAAAGAAAACTACTACACCAAGGTTTTGTAAAATTAAGAAATAACTAGGCAGGTACAAGAGACACTATATATAAAACCCTATTACAAGAGAAAGACTATAATACTGTTGAAACTTGTATGGTTTGAGGTGTTGGGAATTTTTGAGATATTTCAAGATGATTTAGTATAGTTCAAACAATGTTTCGGAAACAAATTTCCAATTTTTTTCTCCATTTGCATTTTGGTTCTGCCCATTTCCTAAACATTTTTGTTTCTTATGTCACAGAAACAATGCTCCACAACAAAATTTTGACCCTTACTCATTGCACATGCTTGGGTGAAATGCTTCCAAAAACATATGGCAGCATGGTTTCATCTTATTTTTCTTGTCATTTGTTACGTCTGCTGAAAATTACACTAGTGAAATTCCAGCGACTGGAAGGACATGGATATACGTTGGGTTCGTGTTGATTTGATTGCCTATGCTTTTATAACAACTTTTGTTTAGTGATACTTGTCTATTGGCTGTATTTTCATGTATATATATATATATTTTTCAATTTACTATTTTTAAAGTTTTGTCCTTTTTTCCATATATGTCAAGTACGCACTGCCCAAAAAAAGGAGAATTGTGAACATTTGTTAATTCTGGAGCTCTGTTAATGGTTAGTATTAGGTATAAAATATCTTTAACATCTACTTGTTCCTTTTACTTTTTCTCCCCTGTTGGGTAGCACAATTAAACTGAGTTTGTGCAGCTGATCTGAACATCCTTTTTTTCTCCAGTTCTATTTTATTAAGAAAGAGTACGCCACTTTTTACTAGTAGTTGAGGAAGCAAGCTAACTTTTGCGGTTGTGAATCTAAATGAATTGTCAACCATTTTGCATCACGAATTTTTTTTTCCTAGTGCAGGTCTAAGTCACCAGCTAAAATTCCTCGGCCCCAACCAAACTCACCAAAGGAATTGTTAAAGGACTCAACAGGTATGCAAAATTAGTGCTTTCCCAAGGAATGGTCCTCAGCAATTCTGTCCGTGTGCCATTTAACTCTCGTCTCCTTCATTTGTTTTCAGGTTTGCAAAAATCAGTTAGTGGAAGTAATATATCAAACAGGCCTCCAAAAAGGTAGCAATAGATGGAAGAAACAGCAGTACTCTTAGTGTATATTGGTCCACTGATTTTGTACCACCAGAGTTTTACATTTTCTTCAACTCTGCATAGGTTCCTTACCTATCTACTATTTTTTGACTGAGTCTCTGTCTAGAGCCTACAGCAGGCACTTTTGTATTCTTTGGTGTTAATTCACACATTGTAGATATGCACTCTCTGGGGGGACATCATGCTACACCAAACTGGTGTTAAAATTTCGTTTTAATGTTTTGTTTTGGGTAGCACAGAAATAGAAGTATTTTTGAAATATTTTAGAAATAGAAATAGAATAGAAACATAGTAAAAGTGAAATTTAGATGCAGTAACATTCCAAATTTTGGTCCTGTCGGGATCCAATAGCAGGCAATTTTGTATTCTTGGGTGTTAATTGCAAATTGTAATTTTTTTTTTGCTCAAGGTTAAATGCAAATTGTAGAGGCTGTACATTTATATGTCTTCTTGAAATCACCTTGTGATAATCATTTTCTGATCACACATCATGCAAGGCCAAACTGATGTTCAAGGATCAAGAATTTTGTTCTGGTGTTTAGTTTCGGGTAGTTTGAAATGGAAATTTTTTCAAAAATATTTCCAAAACAGAATAAAAACCAAGTAAAAAAAAAAAAAATAGACGAATTGAGCGTGTGTTGTTTAACTGTTTTGTTTTGGTTTTCATCAAAATCAAAGTGTTTTGATTCTTTGGGTGGAAATGAAATTGAAATTTTGAGCTTGTTGGTGTTGGTGTTGTACCTGACTAACCACTCAAGTTTATTGTCTTTACTGGAACCCAATCAACCTTTCGTTCTACCACCTTGATCAATTGGCTGACTGGGTAAATGTAGTACTGTTGGTTTGGAGTTGACTAGTGGCACTGAAATTTTGACTAGAAGAAAGGAAAAAAAGAAAGATTTACCACATGAATTTGGTGATCTCTGTACACAAGGTTCGTAGAACTGAAGCGGCCCAAATTACAGGAAAAGCAAGTGAACCCGAGTTCAGGCGCTCTCCTCTGAACACGTTTTGTTATAATCATTTGAACAATCACAATTTTAAAATGTCAAACCGATTCAAATAGATAAGATCATAAGCATTTAAATTATAAATTCAATCAAATTTTGGCACGATCGTAATCTGAAAATACATCAAACATGTATTCAACAATTTTTTATTGCAATATAGCAGCCACTGTATATACGAATATATAAATATATGTGTTTATATATATAATAATCTTCTATTGCCGCATATATAGAAGGTTGCTATGTTTGTATGTGTGTATATCTATACCCGTATGAGAGAAGTTTTTGTGAAGCCGGAGAGATCTGTGTGGAGATAGACAAAACGTGGGGGAGGAGAGAGAAATTCACGTGAAGAAAGATACGTGTGTATGAAACATTTGCGTTAGGATCTTAAAGATCTTCATTAGGACTTTTAGGATCTAAGTATAATTTGGGGTCTTTATTGTCTTTTTACACTAGTTCGTAATGACTCATTGAGATCACGTCTAGACTTATTGACCCATTATCTACTATTAAAAAAATCCATAAAAATTATGCTGAAAAGACCACCTCTTTGGATAGCATTTTGACAAAAAACCCTATTAATATAATGGATCAAAAAAGCTATATGCAAAAAATATTAATCAATAGACAACGAGTTACATTACATTATTGTGGCTATAACATCATTCAGTGAATTTGAACAGAGAGTTACATGACTTGTATCAAAAGTTGACAAACTCAATACCACGTGCTTCTAAAATCTATACGGGGTTATTACGAATAGAAGCACGCGTAAAAACACAAAAAATAATCTTCGAAACACCATTTCCTCCTTGCCGTCGGGCAAGAATTACAATGAAGGACAAGGGGGAAACTCGGTCACCAAAAATTCTGCTCTAAAATCAATACTACCACCAGACCAGGTACGCTACCCACGGCCTCACCAAAAACTACTACAAAAAAAGGAGGATTTTCTCTTCTCTTCAGCTTCATTAGCATCAACTTCTCTCATCAACTCGTTTACATTTACATACACATATTTGTCAATTGACACAAAACTTAGCAAATGATGACCCATTTTCAACATCTATATACAAAACTAAATAGTTCCTCTCCCCTAAAAACTCACCCCAACTCTTTGTTTCTCCATCTGCTTTTGAGGGTCGCACAATGGAGTTTGTCCAAGACTCTAAGCTACAGCAGAGATGCCCCTGCAGTTGAACCCTTCAATTCTCACTGTGGCTGGCTTGTGCCCTAATATTGCACGAACACATCCTCCGTTTTTACATGTTGAGGATGTTGGCGATGCTTCGAGAGCCAATGGTAACAGATTGAATGTGTCATTGCCAAACTCTGCATCTTGGACCACAGGGTTTGAAGCCCTACTTGGTGGAGACCCACAAAAGAATGGTGGCGATGAAGCCACCTGAGTATTGGACTTCTCAGCACCATAACTTCCCTGTAGAAAATCACAAAGAAAACTATTCTTTCAATTCAATCCTCTGGGAAATAATCCTATTTCCTCCTAACCGACTTAAGCAATCTCTAGGACATAACTCAGTCTATTCAATAAATCTAATCAACTTCCATTGCCTGCTTAGAGTATCAAACAAATGTGAGAAGAAAAATGCAAGAATAAAAACCAAATCTCAAAAATTTCCATTTTCTTCTTTTTCCATCTATTTTTTTTTTTCATTTACCTACCTTTTCTCAGCAGTGAAATAGTCCCTAGAGGAGAAATATTTACATTTTTCTAACAGAAACTGTTGTGCAGATTGAAACTGTACCTTAGGGAGAATGATGTCGAGAACTTCCGGCCCTGCTTTTGAGTCGTAAGCCTCAGAGAGATAACTGTATTAAGAATAAAAGGCAACAAAGATGCAAATGAAATTAAAAATATTTCTAGAGCAAATTCAAACTCAAATCAGAAAACCAAATTAATAGATTTAAAAAAAAAAAAAATTAAAAATTATGCGATTAAGTTGACTAGGAAATTACTTGATGTGCCACCTAGATTGTCTGATCTGGTCGTTAATGGAGGGATTCAAGGCTCCAAGTCGACGAGGCTTAGGGCAAATGACGCCATCGGAGGCACAGATCGTTTGTCCCCTCATCTCTCTACAGACTCCCAAAACCTTCTGCCGAGATCCGCATCTATTCATCTTCTCTGTCTTCACAGATCAAGATCTGCACACTCAATTCTACACCTGCCCACACAAACACGTGTATGAGCAGATCAGAAGTCAAATCCACAAACGATATATTGTCCACAAAATGCCACGAAAATCATGAACGCAGAGAGAGAGAGAGAGATAACCTGGACGGCTTTATTCTTGATGGTTCTGCCAGGATTGAAACAGAGGGACCAAGACAGAGAGAAGGGAGGTGTGGGGGCGCGGCAGGGGCGAAGGAGAGAGATAATTACAGGGTTGGGTGAGCTTCCTCCGAAAGAGTATGATGAGAGAGAAAGTGCGAGCTAACTAGTTGGGTATGTTTCCTTACAGCAAAATGCCAACTGTGGATTGTGTGATAGGGTTACAGTGCCGTTGACTAAATGTATTTTGCTTTTGATTCTGTTCTGACCGGACACGTAGTATTGGCTGATAGGGTTAATCTGTTGACTGATCAATTATTCTCATTCAATTAATAGATTGTGTTCGTTAAAACTGAAAATTTTGAAAATTAATAATTGAAAATTGAATGCTGAATTTGTAGACTGTTTGATATTCACTGAAATTTAAGTATTGAGTTAAATCAAATTACATAAAATTGATGTCAGAAAATAAATTAATTTTCAATTTTATCCTTCTGTTCTATAATTGAAAAAATATTGAAAAAATATGAGTTTATCTAATAAAAATAATAATTTATCAAATCAATTTAATTTATAACATAAATCATAATCACTATTATCATATTGTAGTTTATATTTAATAAACATGATAATAAAATTAATTTAAGTTAAATTAATTACTTATAACTACCAATTGTCATAAATTTTAAAAATTACAATTATGATACAAATGAAGAGTTTAGTTGTTGAGCAATTTGTTTACGCAAATTGAGCATAAAAATTTGATCAGCTTGTGTCCTGCCTCCTCCAGCTTCCAAGCTAGTTGAAATATGCAAATTTTGATAGGGATTGTCATAAAGTAGCATTGACATCACTAAACTGGTCCAAAAAAATTTCTGTGATACGAGTTCATTGGATAAAATTGTGTATGCTTAGCAATTACAATATTCTTTTGTACAGCAAAAGAATATGATGACATCTTTTTTAGTATCGATTTTATCAAGCTGTTTCGTCGATTTTAGTCTCAATTTTATCAAGCTATTTACCTGTAGTTATTAGACTTTGGTTAGTGAAATTATTTTGCTCAATTACCTTTTTTGTGAGATTCATCGGTGGGAATCTTAAAAGGTGAGGCTATAATTTCTTTATCCAAATGGCTAAATATTATGGTTTTCACTAGGGGATGACTAAAGGCTATGGTGAAATTTTCTGTTTTTCACTTATTTTTTTTTTTACTATTTTTACTTCTGGGTGATGGGTTTCCAGATAATCAAAAAATAGAATTTCTAATTCTATTTTGTGCATTAAATTAACTCATTATGCCATTATTTCTTTTTGTCGATTACTATTGAATCTTTTAAAGTACTTTAGTCTTTTAGATTCACTCTCAACAGATTTAAAGTCTTTTCCTAGGTTAATCATGTTAGGTAAGAATAACCCATTTTCTTTCCTAATCATAACTAACTAGTGATTTACTAGGACAGTGCTTTGTAAGTCACTGGCTTTTGGTGAAAGGGGTGAAATCATCTTCTTCCTCTTCGTTTCTATGACTGGTTTGTGGAACACTCTGATATGGAGTGTAGCGCGGTCTACTAATTTGTGGTGTGAAATTATCAATTCCTTTTAGCTTAAATTTTCTTTCTATTTCTTATGTTAATTCTTTATCTCTTCTGGAGATGCTAGAATAAACATCAGATTTTCTTCCTTCATTAATTTGGATAGGCTTACTAAATAACCTGTTGGATTTGCTAGATCTAGCAGAATCAAAGGAGATTCTTACTAATCCATCAGATAACGGTTTGATGTTTTCAAGGTTAGCGGCAGTGTTGTCACTATCCTTATTATAATTTTCATTTTCAACTGTCCATGATTCTGGAAGTTGAACATTCTTCCATTCAACCATTTTTGGGACTTGGATGTTAGAATCACTAATACTGGCTTGAATAAGCACAGTTTTATCTTTAAAATGCTTTTTTAATGCATGTACATTCAGGTTTTGTGGTCATGCATTTGTAGTAAATCCTATAGATAAGTACTAGAGATTGGGTTTCTTTTACTAATTTGGTAATTTGTCTAGAAAGTTTTATCCCTAAGGTTAAAGACATTAGTGTATTCTTACAACTAAGACTTAGGGTAAAGTCTGGAAAACAGTTAAAATAAACTGGTCTATTATAGAGACCAGTCTCCATTATTCCTAAAATGGTTGGTTCATATTCTAAAAACCTAGCATCTCTTAGGGTTAATAGAGTTGTTGCATCTTTATCAGGTGACATTAAAGGTTTAATTGCTACTTGAACTAAAACTAAGTGAATAAAATTAAAACCTTTTTCTCTATGTTTCTTTAGGGCTTCTTTACTAATTAACTGGCAAGTTTCTTCCTCTTTACTATGGGCATAAACTTGTTCAATTATTTTCACTCGGAGTTCTGAGTCGAATGCTTTTTCAATCCAACTCATTTTGTAGATGTGGCGATGGAATACCTTTGGGATATTCCATCCACTCCAGTCAACTTGTGACTCATGATGTTCTTCTTCTTCCTCCTTTACTATATTAGGTATAGTACTAAATGAAGAACTAGATGAGTTAGCCATAGAGTTAGATCTGAATAATCTACTCATTATTAAATCTAATTTTTTAATTATGTAAATTAATGTTTAGGTTTGACTCCATTGTGCAAACCCCCTAACATACATGCTCTCATGATACGTCTCTGTTTTTTCCTAAACTGCCTCACCAGGAGACACTCCCTCTTGAGTTGACAAAGGCTGGGTGACAAGGATAGACCAAACTAAACATAGATTTACTAAATTGAAATGAAAGAGATTTAAAATAAGTAAGATAATTCGAATATAACTGCATAGGTAACTATCCAGGTCGTCAAATGACTTTGATACCACAATATAACAAGTGCGGAAAAACATGTGAGTATTGTGAGAAACACAAGTTGTAGATATAGACTGGTGATGAATTATAAAAATTTTGTTTATTTGAACAAAATATAAATTACAATAGCAGAAATAAAATATTTACAACACTAGCACTACTGAGCTAGTGGCTGTAGAGAGTGGATAGAAAGAGGCTCTTCATTTGCATCATTATGAAGGCTCTTTTACAATATAAGGATAGAGTATAGGGATAGTGAACTTTGTGTTTAGAGGAAGACTTATGAGAGCTTTCGGGTGTCAAAGCTTGAGGAGATAATGAAGATTGAAGTCCTTAAATAGATGTAAGGAGTTCAAAAGGAATCTTTGGAATGATTGCTTCTTTGTCTTATGTGGATGCTTTTACCTGGGTAAAATATTTTCACTTTAGCCTTTCGATGGAAAAGTGGAAGTGAATTACTTTTACCAGAGTGAATGCTGACTTTCGATGCAGGTGGGTCCTGCTGTTGTCTGAAGGAATCTATTTTCGGTGGAAAGCAAATTTGACAAGTGGTTGATGATTGCTTTGCTAGGGGAAAGAGTCGTTGTATCAAATGATTTCTTATCAATATATGTAATAGACAACTTTTCTTTCTTTAATGAAGAAAGTAGTGATTGAAGCTATCATACATATGGACAAGTATCATTATGGGGTAGATATATCTACCAAATCATCAAATCCTGCAAAAGGATCCTGGCTATCTTGGAACGAATCCAATGAGGGTGTGACTGATGCTTGGGAGGATGTAGAAGAACTGCTCTCACTAGCTGCTTATTGAAGAAATTTTGTGCTAACTCAATAAGGGCAGTAGACTTCTTCTTGGATTGCTTACTGGAGTCCTTAGAGGAGGACTTCTTCTGCTTAGATTCTTTTGTAACGGACTTCTTGTGCTCTTTTGGAGTGAAAATCCTAAGAGAAGGCATGACCTGCTTAGCTAGAGTGGCAGGAGTTAAGGTTGCTGGGACCACTGCTGGAGTTGGAACCTTGACTGGGAACTCCTGTTTAACTCAGTTAATAATTGGTCTTTGCTGGAACCTAGGCCACCCTTTGACATAAAATTGTCTGGCGACATTGAAGCCAATAATTTTCCATTTCTATTTATATATCCATGGGACTTTGTACCTGCAAATAAATGTTAGTAAAATAGGAAACTGACTCTCATGTTTACTAGGTCTATAAACAGAGGAGAAAGCTATGATCTGATCTTGAAGATCAACTAGAATAATTTCATGAATAGGGCCATGAATAAACCACCACTGTGGGAACTAGGATGGAATCTGGCTCTTGAAATTTTTATGGAATTGTATGAACCATGAGTGATTTAAAGAATCACCCTGATAAAGGATAAGTTTAAACCATGATTCCTTGCAATCATAGTAATTAAACTTTCTAATGTGATAAGGACGATTTCTGAGTAAAGAAGGATGAGATCCTCAATCTTTAAGAGAAATAATCTTTAAAATATTTATAGAGTGATAAATGACTTTACTCGGATCATTCTTATCAGGTATGGGCTTGACAAAAATGGACTGAGTAAAGAATAATATATCCTGATAGAAATTGAATGTCTTCTTAGGATCAGATAGAATAAAGGTCCATCCTGGTTCAATGTATGCATTGACATGGTCCTTTGGGTTGCTTAGGTGAGCATGAACTGGTTTGATGTCAAATACATTTTGGGGTATAGGCTTTGATGTAATTAACCTTTGGGCCTTTGTGGGCTAACTGTGGTTGTTGTTGTTGTTGAGAATACAAGTCAACAAGTTGGCTAGAAGTGCCAGGTTGACTTGATGAAATAGGTTTTGGGGCCTACTAGGCCATTTGGAGGAAAGTACTAGGTTGAACTATGGTTGATCTAGCTACTGGCCTTGTAAGGTTAGGATTACCAAGAAGTTGGAATCTATTGGTAATTTGAATAGCTGATGACTGGGGTTTTGAGCTTGTCAAGACTAGTGGGCTTGGTAAGGCTAATTGTTTGTCAAGGTTTTCCTTTTCCTGGGCAAATATTTGACTAAGTTTTTGTTTTCCAATATCCCTCCCGGCTTTGGAAGAGGTACTAGGGTTAGTGTGTTTCTTGTTCGCCATGAGGTTCCTGCAGAAATTCACGAGTTAGAAAATCAGGGATGCAGTTATTACTGCCCTTAATATACTCGATGTCAAAATCGAAAATCCTTAAAATAGATTATCATCTGGCAAAAATCTACTTACTAGCAATGTTTTGTATGTCATTTTCTAAAACATACTTTGTTGATTTGCAGTCAACTCTGACTAGGAATTT